AAAAAAAAAAAAACAATTCGATCATGGATTACAAAAAAATCGATCAAGTATTACAAAAAAATCTATCATGGATTACAAAAAAAAAAAAAAAAACCGTAACAGGACTCGCCGATTCCGTACAGTGAATCGGCGAGTCACTGTGCAGAAATCGTCCGGTTCTCTCTAGAATCGGACGATTCCCATTTTTTTCGCCGATTCGATTCGTCCATGACGAATCCCGAGTCCGGTTCTACTCGGCATTTTTTTAAACACTGGTCAATAGTGATTGCTTCCTCCTCATATTAATATATATATATATATATATATATATATTTCCTTATATACATTCCCATTATACTGGTGCACAACTGTGCACAGGCTTCACATATTCAAATTACAAATTATCCAATAAAAATATTTGACATTTACTGTAACATTGTTATAGCCACTCGTAACCATCAATTGTGAAATTTGACATGTGATTCTTTGAGATTATGTAAAAAATATAAATAATCATTTTATTATGCATTTGGATATAATTCTTCAGCATTAATTTGGTTTCAATATAGTAAATCAAAGCAATAAAGTTTGACTGAAAATAAAAATCATTGATAATCAAGCAAGTTAAATATCATAAATATTTTGGTATGGTTGCAAAAGCAAAGTGGATCATTTTTTTAGTTTTTTTCTGATTAATTGGAATCGGCTACATGAATCTTGGCTCTCTATCCTGAAAAAATAAAATATGCGCAGATGGAAAACAATGTTTCGATTAATTGTTTTCGTGGATACACGATAAAAGTCATTGAATAATATACTTGTCATGACTTGAAAACGTAGAGGTCCCACCCAACAAATCATTCATCTGGATTTTCATTCGACACACAAATAGATGCGAATAGATAAATTTTCAGAATAAGCATGTACTGCTAGTTAGATATGATTGTCTTGGTTTTCCTTAACAAGTGTGGATGATTCCTTTGCAATCTCTTTTGCAGATGATGTCGTGCTCTTCAGTGTAGACTTAGTTTAGTACATCTTATTAATATTTTTGAATGTCTCAATTCCCAATTTTAGTTAGTTACATTATTCTATTTCAATACAATTCGAAGTGTTCTATGTTTCCTTTAAGTTAATTACAAATTGTTATATTTTAATGAACAAATATATTGAATTTTCATCTACAAACACTTATTTCCATCATTTAAATATATTTGCAATGTTCCTTATAAATAAAGTTTACCTGCATATGCAAGATTAAGATAAAATTCAAAAAATGTTGGTATTGATCAATATTTATTTTTGTATACTTCTTTCTAATTTATTGAAAGAAAAATGTTTTTGTTAGTCTACTATCTAAGCCAATAATACATGTAAATGCATATAATATTTTTTGTGGGTAGTTTAGTGCAGTTGGAGTCCTTACTTCTAGTAGGATTGGAATTTAAGACATTACGATGTCAACAAGCCAATAATACATGTACATATATAATATTTTTTGTGGGTAGTTTAATGTAGTTAGATTCTCTTACCTCTAGTAAGAATAGAACTTAAGACATTATGATGTCGATATATGTGACAACAAATGTGCACGGGTAGCGTCTATAGTTATTGTTATTTATCATCATCTACAAATCAATTGGACTTAAAATTTTGAAGTTAGATCGACGACCGACTACACATATGGACATTATTCGATTTTTTATTCTTTATAAATTCACTTAACTTTAATTTTTTATGACATGCTAGAGATACGTGCACATAAATAAATAACCCAAATGAAAAGTATATGGACAGTTGAAGAGTGCACAAGCACCCTCCCAATATCACATATTAAAAAAAGGGAATGCCAGCGTGATTGTTTATAATGTTTTATTATTAATTTTCTACAAATACAATTTAATTTGAAATTTTGGATGTCCACAACCATGGCACCCAAAGAGCATAAAAGAAGGATTTTGGAAAAAATAAATATTTTGGATGTTTCAGGATATCTTGGTCAAATTTTTTAAATTATTGTATTTTATAATCCGTTAAGTATGTCTGTAATCTATTGTCAGTCCATTAGTCGAAAAAAAAATAAATTTATTAGCTATTTGATGTGAAATCGGACAAATTAAGTGTGTTGTAATATTCTTAAAATTTATTTTAGACTTTGTGCCCCGTGACTACTACATCCCCAAGTACCCAAACAGCAGCATGTTTTTATTGGATGAAGTTTTTATAAGGCCCATGCTTTATGAAAACAAAACAAAGCCTCACCTCAAATCCACATCCCAAAAGCACTTTCGGCAACATAAATCTCCATGATGGCTCTAAAATAAATTTTCAACATGGACAATCAATTTTGAAATTCAAAAAATGATATAGATATTGCGGATCTATGAACATTTATTTTTAAAAAATATATATATGATTTAAATAATTTTTTAAAATATATACTATTTTTATAACTTGAAATCCTCATTTTGTTTTTACAACCATAATGTTAACTCGAATTAAAGCTTTTTCAATGTTTGAATTCAATTTTAGATGAGTTATGGAGTGAGGCTTTACTTATTTTGATAGGGCTGCAGCCCTATCAAATCATTTTCCTCTTTTATTATAAACAGACTACACGTTAGTCTCGCCTTGTTGGTGCAATCGTAGGGGGCCATTTTGGTCTTATTTTGCATAGCAATTCAAACCGTCGATCAAACGCTCAAGGTTAATCTGGACCGTGCATTAAAACCCCATTCACAAAGCGCGGGAAACGTACTATATAATGAACAAAAGCCTGAAACCAGAAGCAAAGGAGCGGACACAAATGCAAACCCTAATCTCCATTCCTGCTTCATCTTCGGCGTCGAGCCCAAACCCCAAGCCTAACCCTATCTCTGGTTCTAGCTCAAGCTTGATTTGGAGCCGTAATCCTTGCTCCAACCTTAGGTCTGAAACTCCTGTTCAGATCAGGCTATGGAGACCAGCAGCTCAGAGAAACATCCGGAACCAATGGTCCACAATCGTTTCTCAGAAGCAGAAATGGAGCTCTGCATCTTCTAATGGCCGATCTCTTGCTTCATCATTGGTGAACGCTTACCTCTCGTGCAGGTGATTACAACATTAGGGATATATGGTCAGGGCCTCAGCCATTATGGCTTCCATGGTTGTTGATTATGGAGTTGGGGTTTTCATTGGCATTCGTGGAGGGATTAAGCTTTTTACAGTGATTTTGTGGTACCAGGTACTTGCCATCAATGGATTTGGGTGTTTTGAGCAGCATGAATGGGATTCGCGACAAAGCACATCAGAAGCTGGCTCAGAAACAGGTGACTTGATTGCATCACGGCAGATTATATGTATCCAAGCTCTCCATTATTGATTTGTTGTAATGATTAACTGTTTTATTTCATATCTCTGTTGTCGTGCTATAACTACTTATGCTCTTTGTATATCTCACTGTCATTTATGCCCAGGTTTATGATTTATACGCAATTGTGTGCCTTTAAATTTTCATAAAGATAATTGTTTGGCTTGTTTTACTTTCTACGACAAAGGGGATATTTTGACTGATTTACAACCGTTTTTTTTTTTTAAATTGGTTTTCTTCCCATCCTATTTTATTAACAAGGGGCCATTGTTGTGCAAGCAGTATGGAGTTTTGTCAGTGGAAAAATGCTGATGAATGTTCTGCTTGTTTTGTTGAGAAATAAGTGTTGCTGTCTTAACCGGGCATTGAGTTAAAAGTTTCAAACAGTTCCTTGTGCCCCTTTTGGATGGGCATGAAGATTGAAGAACTCATAAATTCATGTGTTGCCATCACCTTCTTCTCTGTCCCCACACAAGAATGGAGTCGAATAACAACACAACATGTGGGTCCACATACACAATATGCAGTGCACATTTGAAAAACATTGGTTATAGTAATCTTTTTTTTTTAAATTTTCATGATGAACTCCTCACTGTGTTAAAGGGAGTCCCTTTCTTCCATTGTAGTACTTTTCATTGTATTTAAGTTGCTTACTTATTTTAATATGTGAAGCATCGAAATTTGTCTGCACATCAAAAGAGAAAAATTAAGTTTGATTCAACTTTCAATCTGTAATTATGTCATTTATCTATTTGCTTATTGGCCGAATCACTGCAAACTGTATATTCTCATGTCTTTCACTCTGTATCTGCTTATCTATCCAGTACAGTGATCTTGAAGTACTGCAATTTCCTCCTTTATGTAATCTCATTTTCCCACTGATGTCCTTCAGGGCCATTCTTAATATTAGGTGCAATATAGAGAGTGTATACTCACTGTGTTAGTATAATTGTTCTCTTTTCTTAGGACTTGTATTGTTACACGAGTTTTATGAAAGGAATGCCTTTGATGTATTGTAAATGTGATTCAAGGGAGTTATCAATCTTTTGCATTATATTTGTTATTTTAGTTTTTTGTCCAATGGGCATTAAAGCTGAATAATTTGGAAATCAACATTGGGCAAGGTCCTGTTGCTCTATTTGTTGGGTTGCGTGGTCTATGGATTTGTGTTGTTGCTACTGCACATTGAAGTGCACATCTCTAAAATGTTTTTGCTTCAATTTTTTGAAGTGGATGTGCAGTGACGGTTTACTAGATAATAATCATTATATTTTGTATGGCTTCAAGACCTATAATTTACTTAAAGGTAATCAATGAATCAATTGATAATCTACCTAAATGTCCAGTGATCTCTTCATTGAAAAATTGAAATTTATTTGTTTAAACAATAGAACTGTACTACTTGGAATTGGAACTGAGTTGAACTATCCTCGATGGCCCTTCTCAAATAGGCATCAAGGTTGAAGAATTCAGAAATCAGTGCGTTGTTTTTCAGCTTCTTCTCTATTTTCTTATGAGTGTGGAGTTAAATCACAACACAACATTTTGTTCTTTACCAGCAGTATGATGTGGCACATAGACAATATTAGGTATTTTATCTTTCTTGTTTATGTGTTTTTATACACATTTTCTTGTGCACCCTCTTGCATGTTCATGTATTTTGAGAGTTTTGTGCTCCATCACTAAATGTCCAGTGATCTCTTCATTGAAAAATTGAAATTTATTTGTTTAAACAATGGAACTGTACTACTTGGAATTGGAACTGAGTTCAACTATCCTTGATGGCCCTTCTCAAATAGGCATCAAGGCTGAAGAACTCAGAAATCAGCGTGTTGATTATCAGCTTCTTCTCTGTTTTCTTATGAGTGTGGAGTTAAATCACAACACAACATTTTGTTGACCTATACTTAATATTTATAAAGTTAACCTTTCTAAAAAAATAAAATCCCAACACAACTATTTGTTATTTACCAGCAGTATGATGTGGCACATAGACAATATCAGGTATTTTATCTTTCTTGTTTATGTGTTCTGTTGCACATTTGCTTGTGCGCCCTCTTGCATGTTCATGTGTTTTGAGAGTTTTGTGCTTCATCACTAGTCATCCCAGATTTACAATCAGAAATCATGCCACAGAAATGTCTTCTTTGATATGGAAAAATGTATTTTTTTGTTTATGCTTCATTATTGAATGGCCTGGCATAACATGAAAGAGATCGATTATTTACCTATCTGACATGTGGCTATTGTGAAAGCCATTTGTGCATGCATCCATTGTAATTTATGATGAAATATCCAAACATGAACATACTTTTTCAAGTCTGTTGACCCCATAGTTGCTGGAACTTTGTTGGAAAGGTCATGGACCCACTCCGGAACCTCGATTATGCGGTTCCAGCTGGGAATCTTGGATGGAACGCAGATCACAAAAGATCCCTATATTGTGATCCGCGTTCTCAGCAGGTTCTAATCACGGTTCTCAAGTGTATGACACAGCATATGTTTTTTTCTCTATTTGGCAAAGATTCATATGCAATGATTCAGTTTGTGGCCAATGGTACTGTGAACCCATGCACCATTCTTGATCCCTTAAAATATACTATTGCTATTCCTTCCCCATGGAATGGCGCTTCCCTGTAACAAGGATCGGGCTCCCTTAATATAGGATTGTATAGACGACGATCCCAACCATAAGGAGCTTCTAATAATGCACAGTTCTGCGGACCCGAGCCCGCTTCTGCTCCCAGGAACGCACCCGCACCCGGCAACTATGGTTGACACCAAGTAAATCTTAAAAGCCAAGTCAACAAATCATCAATACCTGTGTTTTTTTCTTAGTCTTCTCTGTTTTCATTCAATAGTCATATTTTTAGGTACTTTGACTTATTTCCTGGACAACTTTTAACAACTTAAATATGATATTAGGCAAAAATTTTGTAGCAGTCATCCAATTGTTGGCCTGGCTGAGAAAGATGAAATAGCAGAAATTTATGTGATTATGATATGGTACGGATGATAATGCACGTAATATTGAATCCATTTGGTCTATCATGATTCATGACTAACTCCGAACTCTTCTAATATTGTTCATCATATACAAAAAAAAAGCTTGAATGTGCTGGATTTGTTTTATCTGGTTATTTTGTAAAGGCTATTTTTTCCGTGTATGATGGTAAATTGATGATTGGATTTAATGATCAGTTAGGTTTTGGAAAGAATTATATTGTAAAGTTGTATAGATTTGTGGAGATTTTGTATTTTTGAACTATTTAGATGTTGAGTTTCACTATCCTTAATGTTCTTACTTAATATGGGCATTAAGGCTGAAAAACTCAAAAACCATTGTGTTGTCATCAGCTTCTTTCCTGTTTGTCACCAGGAATGGAGTTAAATAACAACACGACATTACTTTTACGGGCTCTCAATCACGCTCATGACAATTAGGTTTTGGAGTGAATTCTCTTCCACAGCAGTATAGATTTGTTAAATGATGAGGTTTTGATGATGTGAGCTTTTGAGGAGTTGAGTTTCACTATTCTGAGTGCTCTATCCTAATGAGCATAAAGGCTGAAAAACTCAAAAAATCAATGTGTTGTCATCAGCTTTTTCCTTGCTTTTCATGGGGAACAGAGTTAAACAACAACACAACATCACTTTAAACATTTTGAAATTGTCGGTTCAGATTGGGAATCAGTAGGTATTGTGCCAATTCTGAGAGTTCCATATCTATATGCTGTATAATATGTAAAATTTATGTCATTCCTAGAGTGATTTATTAGGCTAGAGTATACCGCCGGAAAGAACTAGGCTGGGGTTAGTATGGCCTCCATAATGCGCAAACTTGGAGGCTTCTTACTCCATCTGTTCTAAGAGTCTCCGCTAGTTGAACTGTGTCCAGTAGACTCCCAGTTCTACTCATTCCCTTTGTCCGCTGTTGGATTGGGATACTAAACCCTCCAGCAGCCCAAACTAGATGCCCAAATAGGAACAGGGATGGGGAACAATAAAATTCTCATACATTCCCATTGATCTATTCTCTAAAATAGTTTTCCAATCCAACATAGTTCGCGTTAATCATGTGCCAATATAATTTATCGTCGGTTGTTGCATAAAAAAAGATTGATTCCATTGTGTTTATATGCGTATTTTTTGGTTGTTTTGTGTGGTGTTGGAAAACAAGGTATTGAGCTCGAACTCGAGCATTTGGGTGAAATACACAAGGGGGACTGGTACTCTGTAAGACACGTTCTTTTGGTCTTTATCATCTGGACTGAACAACCTACCGGGTCTGAGTGACTTGGGCAAGTTCAAGTTTGAGTCTCTAATATTTTAAATATTGGTTATGTTGTCCTAGGTTTTGGCATTTGTGAATGTGCAAGAATGGTTGGTTGATAGCTCCAAGAAAATAGTTTATTGTTATTTCATGAAAATAGTCCTTCCTTCTTAATTTATTTGAGTAATTTTTTTTATTGATGGCAATGATTAGAAAGAGAGAGGCCTGGAGTGGGTTTTTGGATGCTCATTACTACTTGAAGGTGCTGCTTTTCATGGGCTTGGTATCTTCTTTTGGGGTGGGCTTCCCACCATGATGGATCTCCCTATCTTACACTTGATATGAGCCATGCTTCCCTATCTTACACTTGATATGAGCCATGCTTTGTATAATCTTATCTGTTTTCTTTATTCTCGTCTTATTCTGTGAAATACCATTTTCTAATATATTTGTTTGCTTTTTAGTATCATTTATTTAAAAATTGAACATTGAAGTTATAGCAAGTGTTTACCGTGAGCTTTCCTGTCATTTTATAGAAGTCAAATGTTGTACCAAATTTTTTTTTTCTGGGCAGCTGGTGCTTTTGTTTAGGTAAAGTCAACTTAGATTCTCTGGAAGAATATTAAGTACTTTTGCACATTATGTAAGAATGGAGGGGATGGATTCAAATAGAAGAATGACAGTCTCTTGACTTTTTTTACCCATAATATCATAGTAAAGTTGTGTTCCCTTGTATTACATTTGCTCTTTGTTTGTCAATCAAACTTATAAGTTTGTTTTATGCAGAAAAATACTGAAAGTTATTATTACCTCTTAGTTCTAGTTGTTGGAAATACATTTAGGCCTAGTTTGGATCCACTGATATTTATGTTCAAATGCTAGCTTTGGATAAATCACTTAAGGAATAATCTTATTTAAATAGTGACGATCCCTTGTCAATGATGCTTGGATTTGCATATTCTTTGTGCTAGATCTGAACCCTTTTGAACACTCAATTTGCTATACCCAAGCTGGAAAAATATGGCCCAATGGTCCTCTAAGTCATATTATGACTTTATGACACCCTTGGATCTTCATAATGGCTCCACATGTTCTATAGTCTCTGGATTGCCTCTTATTGGGGTTTCGAAATTCATATTGGATAACACTTGTTTGAGGCAGAAACCTCTCAATTGCAATCAGAGGTTATGTTCTCTGGTAGGTGCTATTGTTGTCCACAGAGTTCACAATTCTTATGTTTTTTAACTTTTTTGGTGATTGAACTTATTTGTTTTGTTTTAGGTATTGTCTCTGTTTAAATTATTTACATATTTATATTTGTGTTTTTCCCTAGGAGCATTATCGGGAACAACTTTTGCTGTCATATAGCGAATTGGTGAGTTTAATTTTTTTTAGTAATAACCATTATGATATCTTTATATTTAGGGTATGCGATATATTATACGCTTGAATTTTTGTTTCAAGCAGTTTGCTAGTGCCTCCTCTACCCTTAGATGTCAACAAGGGATGTTTGGGCTATGTTGTTTCTTTTTGCGAAGTTTCAATCTTAGGACTTTTAGCCAAAGAATGACATATCCCAACTGTACTTTTGACATTGGAAGGTTAGAGAGGTGCTGGTAAAGTGCTTAAAACCTGCATGCTTGTATACAAATTATTTAAAGTAGAGCTGCTTGTAGTTGTCAAATTGTCATTTTACCACTGTGATAAATGACTAAAAGATAATCATACATGTAAATGCAACTAAAACTTCGCATCTTTTTCTTTAAAATTTTTGTCATTTTCAATGGAATGACTGCTCAACTTACAAATGCAATCATGGCTTCAACTATCAGTGGATCTTTACCGTTTTTTTTTTTTTTTGGGGGGGGGGGGGGGGGGGAGTAGTTAACTTGTGTTAATAAGTAAAACACATGTATTCATAGTTACAAAAATGCCATTGGTGGTATACATATGCAAATACATCCCAGATCTTAGGTGATTACAGTTACAAATATTGTATACAAAATTGGGGCCATTGTTAGTGAGTTGAGAAATATTCAAGAATGGGGTGTGACACCTGTAATCAAAAGATAAGGTTGGACCTCTGTAGCTATTTCCAAAAAGTGCTTGCTGCTATTGGTACTGAGCAGAGTTCCTCACTAGCGGCCAGTGTTTGCAAAACCGACCGACCCGAATCGTAACTGGCCGATTAGATCGGTACTGACTCCGATTAAGGCCAGTTTTGTGGTCCTAATAAATAGAAGCCGTTCTCCAAAAAAAACTGGCACATAGCTGTCGGTTTGAGGTCGAACCGGTGGTATGTACTCTAAATCGGCCGGTTTTTCCTAATCGGTCCGGTTTACCGTTTTAACACCCGATATAACGTTGTTTTCAACACATCAAATAATGGTCGTTATTTGGCATAGGCCCTGTTATTTTCACATAACCTATGAATAAAGCTTTTGCAACGTTTTTTAATTCCATTTTTTGGTTTTCTTGTTTTTTTTGGTCAATTATTGATGTTATACATTGGAAAGTTTATATAAATCATCGATTATTGAATCAAAAGTCGAAAAACAAAAGAGTTCTTGGCTGATTGAAATGGGGATTTTTGAAAATTTGAAATTTCTGCTATTCTATCAAATGCAGCTTCATTACCTCATAGATTTTCATAAAAATGGAGGGCTTTGATTCATTGTTGAAGGATTCAACGTTTACATATTCCAATTTTTCCAAAACAATGACGATTTGAGGTTTTTTTGGGCACGAAGTACTGCTGCTTGAAGAACTATTTTTTATCTAAACAAATTGATTTCTGATCTATCAATTGATTGATTTTTATCGAATTGTTCAGTGCAGTTTGATCATTAAGGCCTCATTTATCAAATAAACTATTTATTTTGATTTACTATTGATTAAATGCTTTTATATCGAATTTTTTTCCTATGTTTTTTTCTTGAAATTTTCGTAAAGTGAAAAATCCGCAATTTTTGAAGAAAGATCTCAATAGTGAATGGATCTTCATGAAATTTGGGGCATTTGAATCTTAATTGAAGTATATATCATATCCCCATGTTAATTTGTTTAAAAAATTAAAGATTTGGGGTTGATTTTCACTCTAAAATTTTTTTGTTCTTTGGCTTGATTTTAGGGTTCTTAATTTTTTTTTTTAATAAAATTATGTTTTGTTTTTATAAAAATATGTTATTTGTGATGAATATGAGAAAAAAAAC